AATTTTGTCTTTCTGGAGCACACTTTGATAATGAAATTTTTAATCATAGGGTACTTTTATTATTTTTAGAAAACCATATTACTACGTATTTACTTTTCGATAAGGATATTCCGTTTAATCCATAATTTCCCAGAAATTCATCGCAATTAAGAGCAGAAAATTATTGAAGGTCAGGAAAGGTCATTTCGTCAGCAGCAATTATTTACATACTTAATTTTTACTAATAGAATTATAATGAGTCATTAAAACAAGTTTCAAACGCAATGATATTAATTACTGTAACTTTGCCATTACAGTAAAGTGATACGTACTTTCTAATTAAAATTTAATAGTTGTGTACTTTTGCGGTGTTACAACCAACATTATATATTTATTATCCCATTTTGAAAGGTCAAATAAGACATTTATTACCAATCGATTCCATTTTTCAATGAAATATTCCATAATAAAATCTTAAAATATTTTTAAAAAATTAAAAAAAAAATATTTTCAAGGTAAACATTCTAAAAATATTTTTATAAGTCTATGTTACTACTTACTACACGTAGAATTTTAATATTATTTGTAATAGCTTAAAATAATATTTTTATCTATTCAAATTGTTTGTTTACTCTCTACTTAATCACACTCCAGCTATTTGAAATTTTGTAACTTATAAGGCGATAACAAGCTAAGTGGAGCTTTTCTCACGTAAAATGCTTAACATTTTATCTATATGAGATATATAATCTGTGTACACATGTTTTTAATGCTTCATTTCTTTTTATATGTATGAAACTGATTGCCAAAATAAATATTTTCATAAGTATTTTTCGTTTCTAGGTTATATTATTTTATAATATGCCAAGAGTGTTTGAAAGGTTGTCTAACTCGACCATAATGTTGCATAGTTCAGTTAAGGCTCCAGGGGGTTGCCACCTGGTACCTATCACATTGATTACCTATCAAGATTGACAAGTGACATGACAGCAAATTATTGCGAATTTAAATCATCAATCATCGTAAACAGTCAATTAATGTAGATCATTGTCAATTAATGTAAAAAATGTCTATAGCTATGTGGCGGATTCATCTCTCCAAAAAAATCCTTTATGGGTATTTCGCCACTGCACTGCAAGAAAAATCTACAAAATAAAATAGTTATTTTTTGTAAACACTTCTGGCGTTAAACCTAAACGGACGCTGCTTGTCAGAAGTTATGTTTACAGTAATAAAAATTGGTCTAACAAAGAAAAAAATGCTTAACGTTTCGGAAAGTTTATCTCTTTCCGTCGTCGGAAGCAAAAAAATACAAAGAATAAAGAAAAAAAATAAAAATATTTAAATTCAACTATTCGAGAACACTTTACTTTTTTTAAAACAGATGCGTCTACAAGAAACCGTTGACGTTCTGTTAAAATGACAAAATAAATGAATTAAAAAGCTAAAAAATAAATTAATGTAGTTTGAATACTATGATCATATTAATTGGTCCTCTTTAACAAAATATTTAAACAGTTTTTTTTTTATTTTTTAATGAAATAAGCAAACAATATCGACAATATTAGTATCTGTACTCTTTGAAAATTTGTTACATCTTTAAAAATAATCTAAAATGTCAATTTTCCATGGGTATAGTGATAAATGAAGTCTAAATTATAAGAAAATGCATTTTCTACGAAAACTTGAAGAGATAGGTAAAATGGTATAATACAATTTGATAGACAATTAAATTGTACATCTTAGTCACGTAAAATATACAGGGTGTTCCATTTAAATTAAACAAGTTATTGCCGTTTAAAACTAGTACTTATTTAATATAAATTTTTGGACACGCTGTATAGGGAAATATAATTTTTATTATTGGAACACAATATCTGATCAATAAATAATCTTCAGTAAATATGTAATATTAAAAAATTTGATACCCTTGAAGAAATGAAGTCTTAAATTTATTACTGCAATTTCACAAAATTGAAAATATTTCAAAAACGGTAAGGTTTAAGGGTGATAAACCTTAATCAAATTTTTCCTTTATTTCAATCGTAGAATCTAAAAATAGAATAATATACAGGGTGTTCCATTTAAAAAAAATACAACTATGATATTTTTTACATATTTGGGACACTTTCTATCTTGTAACATATTTTTAAATTGTAGCTCTAACAGTCTTAGTTTAGTTAGGGCTCAAGGGTGCGCTACTATCGATCCTGGCTAAACGTGTTGCCTACTATGGAAATCACAAATCTCTTTTATTTTATATTTCTCTATGGTGACGACTTTATTATAAAAGTTCAATAACAGATTCATAATGTACGAACAGTGAGAAAAAAAATCCTTTTCGCGATAAAATTCTCGAAAAGGCAACGACTAATCAACAAAAGCGCTAACGAAACAAAAATGGTATAAACTTGCTTGCGTAAGCGTAAATAGCGACGTTAATCCGCGAATTGCTCGAGTGTTTTGTTAGTCATTCGATGTGGAATTGTTCAATTATTGTTGACCCACTTGAGTCGGTCGACGATAACGATAGCGCTGCTGATAAACGGCCATAAAAAGTTGGAAAACAGTCACGCTGCCACGCACAATGCCGTGTGTAATTTCGTATTTAAATTAGACAAAATTATGCCGGGGCTATTTGCATAAGAGAGCCGGTTTTACAGCCACTGGTAAACATGTTGTCGACCGGTTTTTCTTTTATTTTTCCTTGTTTTGAAAAGCTGTGTCGGCTGCTACTGCCTACTCTCCAACTACCACTAACCTTCGAGTGTTATTTCTTTAAATTTTTCTGTAATTTGCTCTAATAACTTGCACAGCTCTTATCACCCAACACCCAGGGAAACCGAAAAATAGAGTGAACTAACTCACCATACAGCACTACTGATTAAAAAATTAGAATATCCTACTCGTCAAGACAGCTACGGATGAACAACATCACCTCATAACCATGTTAGAAACTAAGGTTAGAAACAAAGTCCAATGACCGATTCCAAACGGCACCACTCTCGACATTCTCCAGCACAGTTTATTAACATTATTACGAAGCGACGAACAGAACTAGCAATTCAGTCTGTCTCTTATTTCTTCTTTTTCTTCGCGCCTTCTGACAGCGACCGGCTCGGCGCCTTCCGTCCATTCAGGAAGAGCCGTAAGGTTCCGTTAGAGCAGAGACTGGTTCTCGAGATTTGTTGATCGTTTTTTCCATCGGCTCGCTCGGTGCCAGACGAAAACGGTACTGGCGGCTAGCATTATGCCCCCAAGAACATTTATATATCGGGTGAGTGATTCAAAACCACTGAAAAAGTCAGCTATAATTAGTGATACAGATGTGAAATAAAATTATCAATTGACAGTTGTTAATGTACCCTCCAATCGCATCAGTTTTACAGGTCAGCGCTTACTAAGCTTACAATGCCCCGTTAGAACACCCGCTATATTTTTGACACTTTTTGCCTTTGCTTATCAGGTCTGCCGTAAATTTTGACGGATGTTCTATAAACTTTTTCGCCTGTCACTGCTCTGGTGAATTTCTCCACCAATATAGAGATTTGTTGATCACCCGCCGTTTTGTGGTCATTCCTGTGAGTGGTTTTGCAACGCCGCAAAAGGGTTCTGGACCTATGAATGGCATTGATGAGGCTTTTTAAGCCCTCCCCCTAGCCCCCCTAGTTGCTCCGCTGATAATCGGGAAGGGAAATTAAAGAAATGTAAGTATTATTTCATCCATCTGTTATATTGAACGCCACACGTTGGGCGCCAAATATAAAAATGAGAAATAAAAATGTCTAAAAGCTGATACGTCATCAAATAAAATATAAAACTTCTATGCGGTTTAGAACAGCAATTAAGCTTGAAACTATCCACTTGAAGACGCCAGCATTGATACATTTTATGAATAGTTACCAGATTGTAAATATCTCGACACATGGATTGCTGAATAATTCGAAATAATATTGTCAGAATAAAAAATCTTCCAAAGACAATGAAATTCTTTTACTATCGAGGATTTTAATGATATGCCATATGCATATTTGTGTTGTTTATTACTCTGAAGAGCTCCGTCCAGCCTTTCGAGATCGGCTGTCATGGCTGACCGCCGTTACTCAGCTAATGGATGCGTTATGTAAGACAATGTACAGCGGGGCTGCGGCTTTCGTTGAATAGCGCACGTGGGCGGACACGACAAGAGAACGTAACATGTAAACGCGATCGGAACAGCCGAGAGCTTTGGCTGATTTCAAAGGGATACGAGGACGAGGGACCGCATGCATTCGAAACGTAACGTACTTATGGGTAAAGTACCTGCTCATACTGGGATACGATGTATTCTCTTAAATGAAGAGAATTGTTTGTTGGTCTAAACAGTCATACAGTAAGTTTTGACTGTTTATATTATTATTATAAGTAGCTAAACTGTTCAAAATAAAAACAGATGACACAGTCTGTAGCGATGAAGACGATGTAATTTATTCTATTTAATACTGTGACAATTACTTGAAAGGTCATAAGTTTATTTTCTAAGTTTTCGGGAAAATGGCGTTAAAGTTTTGACTAGTTTAAGTTGGCTTTATTTTAAGTTATTTTTATCTAAATTAAATGAGATAAATTTTAATTCTCATATATTTGTAAATTTGAGAATGTATGCTAATTGAACTACATGGAAAATATCCACTTAATTAAAATATTACAAGATATGCCCTTTTAAGAAACAATAACCGTTTTCAATAAATGGTAAAAAGAGCATATGTCGATTTAATTGAAAATCGCATATCATTATAAAGGTGTAAGACGACTTAGCTAGGTAAACGGTTAAACATACCGGTTACTAGAATGGTTATAAGTCGATATATTTGTGATATACAGATATAATATTTTTACTAACAAAGGAATAAGTATACTTATCTTAGTATTCCTGTTAAGGGTGCGCATTATAAGGGTCATAAGTTTACATTTTCGATCGTTTACATCAAAATGAAAAAAATAATCAAATATTTTTTAAATTTTATTTCTGACTCAAAAAACAAAGAATGACAAAATAAATAAAATTCTATTACAGATAATAATACAATAAGAAAAAAACCCCAATGTATAACAAAGTCGGTTAGAAGAAAATAAAGCTATATTCTTTTTTTAATGTATTACTCAGATTCGTCATCGGAAATATACCTATCCACATCCGGGTCGGTATCCTTTTCGAGTCTTTTATCTACAGTCAAATCTCTGTAAAACGATTGCACATCCTTATCTAACAGACCAACAATTTCTAAGAGATTCTTTTTTTTCAAAGAACTTATTGGTCGTGGACGATCGTATAATCTAGTCAGTTGAAAATTTTCTAAATGAGAAATGTTTTGATTTTTTCTAAAAAAACTAATTTCTTTAAACGGTTCCTCATCGAGCAAACTGTGTTTGTAAGCGACTGTACTAGTTTTCGTGTATCTTAACCAGCTTACCTCCCTTAGTTTAAAATTAACTTTTTTTGAAGTGGTCCCCTGGTATTTATATCAGAAAATGCATAAAAATGTTCAATTTCCATTGGATAAACAGAAAAATAGTTCTTTTTACTGGCATTTCTCACTAACTGGTACCAATCTATGGGTACATGGATTTCAAAAGCAGTTTTCTTTTTTGCTCTTTCAATTACAGAATGATCGACGTCGCATTCTAAGTGAGTATGGCCAGGGATAAGAAATTTATGGTCTATTATTTTTAGAGTAGGATGTAAGTGAATTGAATATTGAAACATGGATATTACGTTAATATTTTTGTTCTGACCCCCACATGTATCAGAATAAAAAATTGCATGTTCTATTCCATTAGGTATATCTTTAAGGAATCTATAGAGGCAAGAGGCTATTTCGTTTGCACCCCTGCTGCCAGTACACTCAGGCCACATAAAATGGCTAGATTTGCCATTAATACAATTATGTACAGTTAAATTATAAGTTGAAAGCTGTCTTAAGTAAAACATTTTATTAGTAGTTAAAAAAGGTGTTGGTAGAACTTGCTGAAGGTCAAAAGCATAAGTTACGCAAGAATTATCTAGAAGGCCTTTTTGTTTATCTATTTGTTTAGAGTTATATGCCTTGTCCGCCGCAATTTGGTGTTCTTCCAACTCCCTACGATATTGCATTTTTTCATTTTCATGCTCTGCATATTTTTCTCGTGCGGCAAATGTATCACACTTTGTACATGTATCGTTTTTTGGTTTTTTAAACTTTAAATCTAAAGTATGAAATAGTCGAGAATATATGTTTAACGAAACAGGTTTTTCTCGATACTCCTCACAATACAATTTGTACATTATGTTGATATTTAACTCAGACGATAAATATTTTTTATTACTGTGTCGTCTAGAGTAATGACTCTTATAAGCTGGAAATGAATTTATATGTTTTATTACCTCATCGATTTTATATTGAGGTGTTTTATGAGGTGGTGCTGCTTTGCCTCTCAGATCTTCGTGTGTAATGCCGCTTATGGATGATAATTTATTTTGCATTGCACAAGTTATAAATTTTTCTGTTTCACCGAGTGTATTACAGAAACATGTTTTGCATACACTTATTTCTTCACCGTGAATAATAAATTTATATTTATATGTGTTTATTCTATTCTTAGTGGGTCTTCCTTCTATTTTTTTCCTTGTTATATTTTTTTCTTGAATGCCTACTAGCCCTGCTATAAAAGCCACCCTTCGATCGTGACTGCCCAACGACCAATATTCTTCAAAAATCGTATTTCTTATTTTATCACTAAGAACATTTTTACATTTATTCCTGCAATTATCTCTTAATGGCTTTAGAATCCTGGAAGGCACGGTTTTACCCCTTGCCGTTAAATACGTTTTACCTAAGTTTCGGTTTGATTTTCGCTGTCTAACCTTTTTTACAGCATATGGTTTGATATTATTAGATTGACTATTACTACTCCTTATACTATCATCACTGTTACCACTAGCAATATAATCTGGATCTCGCTCTACATTATCATCAAGTTTGTGGTTGTTTACTTCAACTTCCATGCCTGGATTCTCTATTCCAATGCTTCCATCATGTGTAGTTACGTCTTTATCGTAATTTTCAAGGTTGCCAAGGTTTTTATTTATATCGAGTTTCTTCGGGTTTTTAAGATTGAATGTGTGTGTTCTATTTTCATCTGACAGTGTCTCTTTAGTTTCATCATCTCGTTTATTATCATGTTCACTCATTGAGTGCTCTGACTGAATATAATTTTCTTTTATTGTAGCATTGTGTTGTGCAATTTCGACACCTTCACCACTAACTGTTAGGACTTCAATATCAATTTCATCCTTGTAACTGCCCGATGGATGATCATCTTGGATGTATATGTCTACAACATAATATATCTGAGAATTAGACACAATATTTTCTAAAAATATGCCATAATGGATAAATATGCCATAACTAGTTACTCAAAGAATAATTACCCTCTACCAGTTGTTCATCCATTTCTACAGATAAAAGGACAGAGCCATCATCACCAGGATTATCTAAGGAGTTGTAGGATGTATGGTATTCGTTAGATACAGGCTTAGAGACGGGTATTTCGTCAGCATTAATATCAGTTCTTTTTGCTAAAATATAATAAAAAAGGTGGTATAATTAAGGGGGAACAAATTTTCTAAGTAAATCTTTAGCCAGGGCCAAAAGGCTTAAAAGTGACCGCCTGTATTTTTTCTAAACCATAAATCTCACCTGGGATCTCTACTGAACAAGGTTCTGGTAGAGAAATCAAATTAAGGGTTTGTTCATCGACTGTGTGTTGAACAGAATGAGTTCCTATAATACAATAAGACGGTCGCTTTAGTTTTACAAAAATACGTTCGAAAAAATTAAATTTGTCAGACTTACCAGATTCAAATGATAGGCGACGACATGCATCCATTATTCTTTGTGATCTCCCACCTCTATATTTCACCATTTTTTTTAAATATCAGATAATAGTATCAAAACAAATTAACGATTAAACTAGAGATGCAACAAAACAACAACTTAAAAATAAAGAGTAAGTTGAGGTTATGTTAAAAAATGTAAAATGTCCCGTAAAATAAAATGACTACACAATAAAACGGATATAAGTAGATATAATATGGGGGTTTGGTTTAGTTAAAAGGTCATATGTGTATATAAAATTTAGATTCACTAAGCTTTAATAGGAAATGTAGACTTATATCCTTATAATTATATATTTTTCCTTTTACAATATTTAGAAAATAGTAATATATTGACTTATACCTTAGTATTTTATTAAGTATTAGGATACATACACTTATGCCGGTTTTATCGAGACAAAAATAAAATCTAATGCAAATATATTTACTTATAGCCCTTTAATGAAACTTAATCAAGTGCATTCCTAAAATACCCAATATTTACATTCATTTTTCGCTTATTTCGGACGTAAATCTACATATGCCGTTTTTACCACTAAATCTATGGTACATTTTCTATACGAATGTAGTCAAATGTTAAAACTCAAAAAAAATGACTTATGATCTTTTAACTAATTGCCACAGTAATGTAATACGGTTAGAATCAATTGGCTCAGTTAAGCCAATAAGTAATATTGACTGAGAAGTCGCCGGATATTGAGTCCACTCTGGGAATTTGTAATGCATAGGAATATAGGAATAATGCCCACTGACAAAAATTTCCGGTTAACAGAATGTACACGTACAAGTATTACTCAATTATTGCGTAGATATAACTTTGATAAAACCCTTACTAGAAATGCCTTTATCTCATAATTACTAGAATAATAAAAAAATAGTTGTTTTAATTAGTCTGTCATGTTCAAGTACTGTTTTCAAATAAATACTTTTCTGCCTCTAATTCAACCATGCTTTTTAATTTAGATTATTTGGGTCATAGAGTCCAATTAATTTAAACTCCCGTTGTCTCGCAACACCACAAAGAAAACGTCCGAGTTGAGCTTTTTCAAAGCCACCTTATTCCTTTTTTGTTTCTGTTTCAAAGGAAAAACTTTATAATCTCGTTGAAGAGGAGGACAATAACAAGCTAAAAGCAATTACTTACACGACAATCCACGTCGTTCGAGTTGGCCTTTTCACTGAACCGATCGGATGTAATAAATTAGATTTGATAGGTTGCAGTGTGGGTTAGATGGGAGGGAAGTATAGGGGCTATGGCTTTCACCACAGGGGAACTGTTTACATTTTTGTTCCGTCACAACATCCAATACGACGTTTCCAATTTTGTCTATAACATTTAATTTTTTTCTAGTTATAATTTAGGGTAATACTAAATATCAGTAGCGTAACTTGGCTCAATACAAGGGGATGTAATAAGTAATTGCAATTAACATTTTACCAACGCAATAATTTTTTTTATTAAAGTCTTTAATTTTGAAGTTAATTAGGTTTCAATTTTATACAAAAATCTAAATTCAAAAATTTCTAACAATACTTTTATGATTTATAGACTTAGAACCTTCATTATAGTATATTCCGAAGCGGGAATCAAGCCTCTTAAAGGACAATCTTACCTGACTTCGGCTTTGGCAAATCCTAGCCATATAGTAAGAGAAACAACGCTATCCACCTGCCTATCATAATCAATGAAATCCATTATGAAACCTCCATGACTAATACCTGAAATATACCAACGACAGTTCCAGAAAATACTAGATCGGTACAATGAAACAATTAATTGTCATTTTTTCAAGAAAACAAATAAAAAACATAAAACCTATTAAAAATGGTGTTATATAAGATGCTAAAACTGTACCCATTACGATCTAATCATCATTCTTATTCATTTATTTGTAGTTAATACTAGTTTTCAGATAAGAGTACTTTTACCAGGAAATTTACACATACAGGAGATTAATTATTATATCACGTTTTTCTTATCTTTTGAGAACGATATCTTTCAAATTTGTTGACAGTAGTTATAAATATAATCTTCCTTTCGTGTTTCGAAACCTAGCCTATTTTGTTTTTATTATCATAAATTGTAATATCATTTACAGGCCATATTATCGAGAGAGAAATTTAAATAAATTGAATACGGAATTTTTTAAAGCTTTGAAATATTTCGTCTATTTTTTGAATAAAAATATTGTGCAATTTTGAAACACGCTACAAATATTTATATTTCATATTTTTTAATTACCAAATAGAATATATAAACAAATAAATAATATAGATATAGGATATTTGTAATATTTTGATATAAAATAATTTTTATAACAATTCATGTTTATTTTAAAATGTTGAACTTTTAAAATATTTATCAACATATATATTTTTAAATTTTTACAATAAAATAAAAAATACATATTATATTGATTTGTTTTTATCCAACATACGCAAGCAAAATGTAAACACTTTGTTTATTTCCTGTTTAATTGGACCACAGATTGTTTTTTGAAGATTGGAAAACGTCATTGGCGTAATAGTTTAAGGATTTTAACAGTTACAAACATATGTAACAAGCATATTAACATTAATGACCAAGTCGAATGAACACCTCAGTAGATGAAGCTAAGAAACAACCGCGATTGCAGATTCTGTTTAATGACCACGTCGAATGAACACCTCAGTAGATGAAGCTAAGAAACAATGGCGAATTCAGATTCTGTGGGGAAAATGGGGAAACACCAGAACACATCATCACTGAGTGCGCCGAGATGACAACCATTCATGTAATAAACTTTGGTATGACTGATACCGGAGATGGAGAACTAACCTCGGTAAAACCGTCTCATAGTCTAGTCCCTTTTTCGGAAATTTTAAGTTTGAGAAGCATTTTATATACCTGTAAATTTTCAAAATAAATAATGCATTGATCTTTGTCCCAATTCAGTTCATCATAACATACTTGGTAGTAGCACCTCTTGATGTGCAGTCGAAGAGCATCCGTTGTTGGCGGCATATTCTCCGGTTTCTTCCCAGTACCAAATAAAAGGGCACGGGCATCATCAGCACATTCTGCTACAATGCTGGGGTCAATCTGAAAATAAAGAATGGTGTAAAAAAATAAGACAAGTTTTGGCAAGTCTACGTACTTTGTACAACAGGATGACAAACTTCTCGACGTTCTTGAGTACATCCTCTTCGAGCGGCCAGCGTCCAAGGCTACTCAAAAGCTTGCAGTTTTCCCCAGTGAAAAACTTCCATGCTCCTATTTTTGTTACAGATACTAGTTTTGATGTGGCATCACATCCGATAATAGCATGGAATGCCAGCAGGTGAGTGATTTGCTCAGGCGCAAGTTTTTTACAAATGTTGTGCACTGGAATAAAATTGGTATCGCGCAGTGTGCCACTCATCACCCACAAGTGGGAACACTTCATTTTGGCAAAGTGGTAAGCTAGGAGCAGAACAACATCAGTATCCCTAGTCATAGCAATAATATTTTCGGCCTGACTGTTGATGGAATGAAGAATCATACGGGTATCCGCCTCTTCGTGGGAGGCTTTCAGGCAATTTACGGGCGGTATTAGTAGACTCGGCATGTGTCTCATCTTTAAAACCTTCTGACAGCACAACTTCAAAGTCAGGAAATTTTACTGTAGAATTCGGTCAGACAAAAATCTGCATAAGTCTGCTGTCTAATATTTTCTAATAGTGAGAGAAAACGACTCAGGTTTTTGGGTAATGGTAACTACCATCTGTGATTTCTCTACGTACCGGAGCAAAGCCCTTTGCTCTTTTCTGCCTTGTTCCAGATTTTATAGAGACAGGCCGGTACCTATCAAAGCATGGAATAAAAGTTAAATTCAATAATAACACAATTTACAATATATTGTATTAGGTATTGTCTGTTTCATATAAAATGCTCCCCATACCGAAAATTCCCCTATGTAATTTCTAATCCTTTTAATTTGCAGTAATAGCCGAGAAATAAAAGCACCTATTACGAGTATAAACATAAATATTATTACAGCTTACCCTTTATAAACTGCAGGATCCTTTCCTCGAATAAAAAACACAATTGTTAAGATATTAAATAACTTTTTTGATTGCACAGGTTTACAAAATATAAACATTACTTTCCTTATCAAACGCCTGGGGTGGTCTGGATGCGACACGAAAGCTTTGCAGTAGGTAGGCGCGCTGCTGCCAGTTTCTATTTGTTTTTCTTTATTTACAGTGTGCTTCTGGCGAAATACAATAAGTAATAATATAATAACCAATGAATGTATTAAAAATAGTAGCTCATTGTATAAAATTCATGTTTTTTTTGTAATTTCGACATAAAAAGTTTCCCAAATAAATTTTAGTGTAAATTTTTGAATTATTCATGTTTGAAAATATCTATTTAGACACCTCAGTCACTTTTCTATGTCAATGGGAACTCTAAAAATAACGAATTTCAAAAAAATCCGCCATCTTAGCCGCCATCTTGAATATCTCACTTCCGGTTGAGATTTCGCTCTGGCAACAGGCAGATTCGGATTCAGCAAGGTCGAATTAGGGGGAAAAGGGTAGTTTCCAAAAAGTAATATGAAATGCTTCTCAAACTGTTTTAGAGGCACCTTTTTTAAATTTTGTTACTAGTCTATCAGATGGTTTTACTAATAACGGACTAATGTCAAAGTGAGGGTTCAGTGGAAAGGGCTAAAATAAACATTGAGGAAATGCTGTTATATTGCTACGCGGACAATGACTGGTAAAAGCCAATAAAAGAGTAATAACTTCAAGATTGCCTTTAATTCTTGGCCATTTTCGTAAAATATCCGGGCTATGACGATATTATCCCCTGATAATGCCTCCTATATATATCATTGTCCGTAACACATACCGTTTTCTGTGTGCAACATTTTTGCGTGACAAGAATGCATGTTTTTTTTCTACGACTGATCCAATTAATTACAAGCGAAACGCGATTCCACGAAATTTCTACGAACCCGTCGCGGTCTGTAGCGGAAAAAGAAATAAAAAAGATCGGAAATAATGGCTTTTCACCAACAGCTACTGTGGTTTTTCACTCGTACAGATACCGTTAAAAATAAACGAAGCTTGAATCGCACTGCGG